TGAATCGAAGCGGCTGGCGGAAATAAAGGCGAGCGGAGTGCCGTCACCCGGAAGTGATCTTGGCAGGTCAGAGGGCAATGCTCTGGTCTTTGGGCAAAATTCTAGGGTAGAAGCTAATCGCTCACAAACCCGAGCGTTGCCGCCGATGTTTTTCGCGTCACTTCCGTGTTACATATCCGCCTCGCGTTTATCTCGGACTCCTCCCCTCCCCATTCCCGGTAAGTGCTCCCTAGGGTTTCTGAATTGTTTTACTCAAATTTATATTTTACGTCCTATTGTAATTATGCTGCAGTTGGGTAAGCCGCCCTGGCTGGGAGGGAGGGGTAAAAACTCAAATAACAATAATAATAATGTGCACCCCAACCCCTCCCCCGGGGAGATTTGGGGGGGGGGAGCTGAGGGGGAGAAGTTGCAGATCGTGCCTCCTCTTGGATGTGTCTTCCTGCATCAGGGAAAGCCTCTTGACACCTTTGTGTGGATCCAGGAGGCCACTGCAAAGCCCTGCGTGCAGAATCCGAATCGGGCACCTCAGGAGGCTGGACAGGGATCAAGTAGCTCCAGGTTCCATAGAGACATGCATAGGATGGAGGCGCAGGGAATTATGGGAAAAAGGCGTCTGGACTTTGGTTGGGGCTGGGGAGGGAAGGCAGGAGGATTCCTAAAGGAAAGGCCAAGGGACAGCAAAAAGGGTTTCCCTCCCTTCTTTCTTTCTTTCTCTCCCTCACAGGCAGCAGCAGAAAAATGCCTTTGAGGCTTTCTCCGCCATCTCCTCCAGGTGCTGAAAGGAAAAGAGTCGCCATGCGGCCAGCTCAGGTACTGGGGTGGGGATTCATTTGGGAAGATGAGCAGTTGGAGGGCAGAGATGTTTCTTTGTTGCAAAAGCGGATTGGGCTCCTTTTGCTTGATTCTGGCTCTGTCCACTGGGAAGGCAGAAGATGGTCCCCTGCTGTCTAGGATGGTGCCTGGTTCTCCTGGTGCTTTTCTGGAAAAGAGAGATCAGGGCAGCCTCCATGCCCTGTCCCTCTGCTGAGCTCCCTCCTTCCCTTCCAGGGCACCACCCCCAAATCTGCAGGTGTTCCCCAAGCCGGAATTGGCAGTCCTAGTGGAGAAGGAGAATTTTTTTTTTTAGCTTGGAAGTCATAGCTGACGTCTGGTGACCCCTAGTGGGGCATGGCGGCCAGGGACGTTCAGACGCCTTGGAGGTCTCCCAGGGTCGGCCCTGCTTAGCTTCCGAGATCTGATGGGATCGGGCTTGTTTGGGCTATCCAGGTCAGGGCTTAGAGAGCTAGATTTTGAGTCACACGGAATGTTTCTTGGCCTTGATGTTAAAACAAAAAAGGTGGGGTGGCTGATGTTATTGTTAGATGGTCCCGCAGAAGCCCAGTTTGCAGTGCTGGACAGTATGAAGGTGGTACCTGAGGAGACTTTTCACGAAGTACACCTGTGTGTATCGAAAACGATCATGGGTTGTACTGAGGCATGCTGGGACAAAGACACAATGGCTGCTTTCCTCTTGGGAAGGTGATAAGATCGCAATCTGTTCTGAGCATCCAAACTTAGTTGTCCCTCATAAGGAACAGAGAACTAAATACAAACGTGCTTGTCTCCTGATAAGGACTCACAGATAAGGACTCACAGCTTTTATGATTTTTATTGAGACATCAAAAACTAATGTTATAACTTGGATCAAAATTACAAACAAGTTATATACTTCATAATATTAACTTATCTGTCAAACTGGTTCACCACCAATTTAAAAACTGTTCACCAAACACTTAAAACTTGAAGGGAGGTTGGATACATCTGAAAACGTAGTGTTTCCAGGGTGAAACATGTTTTTGGAAGAAAAGGGGAGTATGAATATCTAACAGCAGTAATGCCTACAAAATTTGTCCCTTTCTGCATCATCAGGCCACGTGAAAAATGCACCAGCTAACTAGTTTTGAGGGTACTGTTAAAATCCGATATCCCACAGAAGAAAGGCCTGGGGTTCAACGATACACACAATGGCCACTGGAGCCCATTTCCCTGATGAGGCGCCAGGAATGAGACTTCAGAGATGCCCATGAAGGAAACAAAGTGGGGGAAGTGAGATTTGCCAATACTAAATTTTTTCAAATTCCTTTCAAGATATTTTGTAATTCCCTGCAGAACTCTGAACACCTTTAAGGTCCCCTCAAACAAATGGCAGGTGGGTCATGAGAGGGGGAGGCCCTAACATGTATCCAATGCGGCTTTTATTGTTTGTATCCAATGCTGCTTTTGTTGTAGGATGAAATGTTCTTTGAGATGAACCACATTACACCTCTGTTGTTACCTGAAAGAGGAGGGGCAAGTGGTCAGAAATGTAGGGTCTGTGGGGATTTTGAGATACAGTTTTGCAGTGCAGTTTTTGTCAATGATCTTTCCCTAAGAACTGAACGTGACACCTCTAACTGAAGGTGACCCCTAGCCTGTTGCTTCAACCGATCTGCTCCTCTTGCTGCTATGCATCAGCTCCCCAGACCCATTCTGCTCGCCAGTCGGACATTCTGGCTCCGATCTGTGATGGGAAGGAGGACCCCAATGGCTACTGTTCATGGTGACTGAGGGGAGCCTCCCTATTCGGAGGCACTGATCCCCTGAACCACAGAGCCAGGAGAGGCAACCTCAGGGGAAGGCCTCGGACTCCATGCCCTCTAGCTGGCCCTCCAGAGGAAGTGGTTGGTCACTGTATGAGACAAGAGGTGGGACTAGATTGGACGGTTGGTCTGATCCAGCAGGGCTCTTCCTATGTTCTTACGAAGGCCTCGGCCTCCATGCCCTCTAGCTGGCCCTCCAGAGGAAGTGGTTGGTCACTGTATGAGACAAGAGGTGGGACTAGATTGGACGGTTGGTCTGATCCAGCAGGGCTCTTCTGATGTTCTGATGAATTCAGTCAGGAAGCCAGAGCAAGTGGCAGGCTGGTAGCCCCCTGGGTGTAAGCACTAATTTAATTCTTAATTGTATTTATTGTAACATGATGTTACCCGCCCTGAGCCCGCTCGTGGGACGGGTGAGATAGAAATACACAAAATAAATGATAAGTAAGATGCGCCAAGGAGAGCTGGGAAGGGAAAGTGTAAGGACTCTGATTCCCCTCCTCTTTCTGCCGCTTTTCAAGAATCATTTTGCTGTTTTGGGTTTTTTTCCCCATGGACCAGTTTCCCACTGATATTAAGAAATGCTTCCTCCTTCTTGCAGGGCGGGGTGTCCTTCGAAGAGGTGGCCGTGTATTTCACCCAGGGGGAGTGGGCCCTGCTGCGCCCAGCCCAGACAGCTCTGTACAAGGAAGTCATGCTGGAGAACTTTGGGAACGTGGCCTCTCTGGGTAAGGAGTTTGTTTTCCTTTGACTCGTCCCTCAATACTGTTGGGAGTGACGATGCCTAAGCTCTGTGATCCTGTATATCGACCTGGCTAGAGTCCCGGTTCCTCCTTGTGGCGAATGGAGCACCAAACGAGAGGACATGAGAAGAAGCTGGTGCCAAGCGATGCTCCCTTTGGAGAGGGTGGATCAGTCAGGGCAGGTGTTTCCCTCCAGTCTGGGGCTTCCTTGACCTGTGTTTTGCAAAGGGGCTAGAGAGTTACGAACTGAGGGTGTGGAAGGAAAGATGAGTGTGAGGGTATGTCCTGTGGAAGGAAAACAGAACTGGGGAAACGAAGTCATATGCTTGCCTGTCCTAGAGTAGATAGATCAACATGGGTACCCATGTTAGTCTGCCTGTAGTAGTAGAAAAGAGCAAGAGTCCTACGACACCTTAGAGACTAGCGAGATTTGGGGACAAGGTATGAGCTTTTGTAAGTCACAGTATCTGAAGAAGTGAGCAGCGACTCACGAAAGCTCCTACCCTGCCACAAATGTTGTTAGTCTTTGGGGGGCCACTGAACTCTGGCTCTTTTCTGCTGTCCTAAAGAAGGTGTGTTGTACCGTGTAAGTGGTGGAAGATTGCCTAGGGGAAACAACGAGCAGGAAATGGTGGGGGGCGGGGAGCCCTTTGTGTGCCTTTTTTTTCCCTACCCCCGTGCCCAAATCCAGTCAGGGTGGCGTCCGGGAGGGTGGGTGAAGGGGCATGGCACGCATGCCGAACCCCCCTGCCTCCCTCTCCTCCTTCCTTCCAGCTCAGGGGTCAAGAGGAAGGCGAAGGCGCCTGCAAGTCCCGGAAGAGCCCTCTGCCCCAAGTGGAGGCGCAGCAGCAGCTCCCCGTTTTTAGCAAGGGGGCTCCCCCGGCCAAGCCTCCCCCCCCCCAGACAGGGAACTGCCGCCTCTGTTTTTGGCTTGGCCACCACGTCCCTGTTGCTGGGCTGGCTGCTGTGCTCCCAAGTGTCTTTCTGCTGTGGCAGAGCGGCCCATAGGGATTTGCACCCAAGCTGCACTTCCAAGGAGGATCAGTGGGTGAGCGGCAGCAGCCCAGCGCACCCCCTCCCCTGACCGGACTGCTATGCCCCGGCAAAGGGTGCGCACTGGAGTACTCAGCAGCGGCCGGCGAGGGGGCATGGCCAGCAGCTGCAGCAGCACTGGGAGAGCTCTCCTTCCGCTGCACCCACCAGAGAGAGGTGCCCAGGCTCGGAGGAAGCCACGACTTCCATCCCCGCCAACAAAACGTCTTTGCCCGTCGGGTGAGACCAGGACACCCCCCCCCGTGAGGCAGGAGCCCGGCTTGGGCAATGCAGGGGGAGGAGCCCTGCAGCGGCCAGGGGAAGCGGCATCAGGAGGGGAGCGATGGAAGGACAGCTGCTGGGGGCATGCCCAAGCCCCGCTGTGGCACAGGCCGCAGGGGCCCAGAGGAGTGCGGGCAGCGGGAAGTGAGGACGGGGACCAGCCGACAAACAGACAGGGGAGACGCTGTGAGCCGCACGAGCCGGTCCTGCAGCTAGTTGAGGGGCCGTTCCTGAAGAGGCAAAGCCCTCTTCCCCCCCCCAAGAGAAACAGCCCAGGAATGAAAAGAGGTGTGCGCAGCCTCCCCTACAAACACACGGGGATCCCAGCCTGGCCATTCTAGCTGACCTCCCCCCCACATCCCCAGACAAAATAAACGGCTAGGAGGAGACTCACCTCAGGAAGGGAAGAAGCTGGGCAACTGAGCAATCCTCCTGTATCTCCAGGAGCATGAGGCAGGGGACTGCCGGCCCGGGCAAAGCAGCAGCGCCCCCTTTCACAGGGCAAGCAAACCCTGGCTGATGGGAGGCGGGGCCAGCCCAGACTAGGAAACAAATCTTACTGCCGCGTTTCTGTGCTGCCTGGGCAAACGGATCTGTGCGGCATGGCCATTGGGAGGGGAACCTCCCTCTCCTGCGCTGTGAAAAAAATTGCTGCGCTGATCACGGGAGATTGGTGCGCCAGCGCAGCCTGGCGCAGCTTAAAGGGAACCTAGCTTCATAGTTACTTGAGCTAGGGAACAGATCTCCCTTGCGACAATAACACCAAGATGGTTGACAAATTCAGCATCAGTTTTAAATGGCCACAGGTTGTGAGTATCAGATGAAACTGGTTCTGTCAAAGACAGGACGTGAGATTTATCCCAACTAATGGGGTATCCCGCTATCTCCCCAAATTCACTGATAAGCTTAATCAGTTCTGGTAACGACTACTCAGGATCAGACAGCAGAAGCAAAGCATCATCTGCAGACAGCGTGAGCTTGAATTCAGCATCCCATACCTTGCTGCCTCTAATGTCCACTTGATTATCGGATGGCACGTCTCAAGGGCTTTGGAGCCAGGTCAGACAGTAGAGGTGAAGGAGGAAGCCTTTAATCTGAAGCTCTGTTGTATGTTGTTGTTTTTTTTGCTGTCAAGTCACAGCTGACTTCTGGTGAGCCTGCCGGTTTTCAAATGGCAAGTGACATTCAGAGGTGGTTTGCTATTGCCTGCCACCATGTCATGACCCTGGTGTCCCTCGGCGGTCTCCCGTCCAAATACTAGCCAGGGCCAGCCCTGCTTAGATCCCGAGATCTGATGAGGTTGGGCTGACCTGGCCGACACAGGCCAGGGCCCTCCTTGCCCTTTTTAAAGGCCTCGTCACAGTGCAGGGATGGAGCATCTCTTGGAAACACACACACACACACACACCCCACTGCGCACACACCAGTAGCACCTCCCATTTTGCCAGGATTACGTTTCAGTTTGTTAGCCCTCTCACCCTAACCCCAGCAAACCACAGTGTCTCCAGTCCCGACCCCAAATGGCTGTCCAGAAGGGTATCATTACTGATGGTATCAGAAGCTGCCGAGAGGTCCCGGAGAATTCCAATTCGCCATGTCCATCTTGAGCCCAGGTTATTCACTGGGGCGACCAAAGCCACTGCAGTCCAGACACCAGTGAATTCTCATGTTATATGCATCATGCGTATGTGTGACTGAAACCTCACATATATCCAGTAATTGGTCCCCAGTTACATTTGGAAAGTGGATGCAGGTTGGCTCTGTCTGACGAAGAGCTGTAGAGGTTGTTTAGAGGTTGTTCATTCTACATGCATTCTCTGCAACATGTGGGAAGGTCTCTTGTGAAGGCAGGAAAGGACAATTTTAGTAAAGGTTAAAGAATATTCAGGCAGTTAATGTGTAGACTGCAGTCTGCTCCCCAGCTTCCCTCTGCCTGGGAAGGCTGACATGTGCGCCCTTCTTGGCCAGGGCACTAACCCAGTCAGCTTTTTCCTGCAGTGACTAGGAGATCAGCCTGATTCTGATTTCACTGTGGGAGTCCCCAGCCCTATTGGATGAATGGGAGTCTCTCTCTCTCTCTCTCTCTCTTTTCGACCGCTCTCACCATCCCCACCCCACTTCCCTCTCTCTGAGGGGTCCCAGTCTCTAAGACTCATGGTGGATGAGGAAGAAGGTGCAAGAGATATCATTAGGCACCCTGAAGAAAGGTAAAACACATGGGGATCGGAATAGTCATGTTTCTCTTTTTACCAACAGTTGTGTAATAAAAGTTGTCTTCCCTGAATCATTGGGCTTCTGCCCATGTTTGTTTGGTGACTGCTGGGCCGAAGCCTGCATGAAATCCCATTCTTTGATCTTAGTGGAAAGGAGCAGAGAGGCTGCCGGTTAGGTGACTAAAGATCCCAGGTCAGTAGCTTCTCCAGCTTCCAGTTCACTTCAGAGAAAAAATTATGTTCTAAGATTCCATTTTAAGAGCTGTGCAGACACCAAGCTTTTGAATGCTTGCATTCTCTACAGCAGTTGATGTCATTCCATATGTTCAGGCTTTGTTCTTCTCTGTGTGTTTATGCCAGGTTTTTCTTTCTCTCAGCAGGAGGTGTTTGGGAGTCAGTGAATGAAACAAAAGCACATGTAGAGATGACGACAGAAAAAGTATATTCTGATGTAAAAGACAATAATGACTATTGCGACATACTGAGGAAGGAAGAAGGGAAACCCACACTTAAAGGGATAAATAGTTCCAGTCTTTTACAAAGTAACTCTTCTCAAGAAATTCTGCGACTTCAAAACCTATGCAGAGGAGATAATAAGAATGAAGGAAATGTAAGTGGGGAAAGATTTCCTGAAATATCAGACATTCAGATGCATGTGAATACCCATAAGGAAGAAAAAGCGTATAAATATCTGGAGTGTAGGAAAGGGGTTGTGCAGAAAAATACCCTGATTTCCCATCAAAGAACTCGCACAGAGGGGAAACCATATAAATGCCTGGAGTGCAAAAAGAGCTTCAGTAAGAGTGGGCAGCTTAGTATCCATCGAAGAATTCACACAGGGAAGAGACCATATAACTTCCTGGAGTGTGGGAAAAGCTTTAGTCAGAGTGGAAGCCTTAAATTGCATCAAAGAATTCACACAGGGGAGAAACCATATAACTGCCTGGAGTGTGGAAATACTTTCCGTTACATTGCACATCTTAGTCGCCATCAGAAAATTCACACAGGGGAGAAACCATATAATTGCCTGGAGTGTGGGAAAAGCTTTGGGCGGAAAGAGTCCTTTACTTACCATCAAAGAATTCACACAGGGGAGAAACCATATAACTGCATGGAGTGTGGGAAAAGCTTCATTGACAGACCAAGCCTCAAGTCCCATCAAAGAATTCACACTGGGGAGAAAAAATATAAATGCCTGGCATGTGGGAAAAGCTTTAGTCAGAGTGGAAGCCTTAAATTGCATCAAAGAATTCACACAGGAGAAAAAAACTATAAATGCCTGGAGTGTGGGAAAAGTTTTATTCAGAGTGGAGGCCTTAAATTGCATCAAAGAATTCACACAGGGGAGAAACCATATAACTGCATGGAGTGTGGGAAAAGCTTCATTGACAGAGGAAGCCTCAAGTCCCATGAAAGGATTCACACAGGAGAGAAAAAATATAAATGCCTGGCATGTGGGAAGAGCTTCAGTCAGAGTGGAAGCCTTACTTTGCACGAAAGAATTCACACTGGGGAGAAACCATATAAATGCCTGGAGTGTGGAAAAGTCTTCAATCAGAGTTCACATCTTAGTTCCCATCAGAAAATTCACACTGGGGAGAAACCATATAAATGCCTGGAGTGTGGAAAAGGCTTCAATCAGAGTTCACATCTTCGTTGCCATGAGAAAATTCACACAGGGGAGAAACCATATAAATGCCTGGAGTGTGGGAAAAGCTTCATTGACGGAGGAAACTTCAAGTCCCATCAAAGAATTCACACCGGGGAGAAAAAATATAAATGCCTGGAGTGTGGAAAAGTCTTCAATCAGAGTTCACATCTTAATGTCCATCAGAAATTTCACATGGGAGAAATCATATAAATGCCTGGAGTGTGGAAAAGTCTTCAATCAGAGTTCACATCTTAATGTCCATCAGAAATTTCACATGGGAGAAATCATATAAATGCCTGGAGTGTGGAAAAGTCTTCAATCAGAGTTCACATCTTAATGTCCATCAGAAATTTCACATGGGAGAAATCATATAAATGCCTGGAGTGTGGAAAAGTCTTCAATCAGAGTTCACATCTTAATGTCCATCAGAAATTTCACATGGGAGAAATCATATAAATGCCTGGAGTGTGGAAAAGTCTTCAATCAGAGTTCACATCTTAATGTCCATCAGAAATTTCACATGGGAGAAATCATATAAATGCCTGGAGTGTGGAAAAGTCTTCAATCAGAGTTCACATCTTAATGTCCATCAGAAATTTCACATGGGAGAAATCATATAAATGCCTGGAGTGTGGAAAAACCTTCAGGCTCAGTGGAAGCCTTAACTCTCATCAAAGAATTCACACAGGGGAGAAACCATATAAATGTCTGTAGTGTGGAGAAAGCTTCAGTCAGAGTTCACATCTTAATGTCCATCAGAAATTTCACATGGGAGAAATCATATAAATGCCTGGAGTGTGGAAAGAGCTTCAACGAGAGTTCAAATCTTCGTCACCATGAGAGAACTCACACGGGAGAAACCATATAAATGCCTAGAATGTGGGGAAAGCTTCAGTCTGGGATCAGAACTTCTTTTTTGTAAAATTTCTTTATTATAAATTTAAACAGTAACATTTGTGAAACATTTTCATCACATTCAACTTGCGTTTAACAACTTACAACTTACAATTCCGACCAACTACTAAATTTTGTTATAATTGGAAAGTTTAAAATACAAACATTAACAATAATAAGTGAATTATACTAATCGTGACATAAAAGTCATGCAAGTATTTACTTCACGGATCTCATAGTACCCAGTCATGACGAATATAATTATAGTATTGAGTTTGTTGAGATTTTTTAACTCTGTCCAGGACATAGTCTAACTTCTCCAGGATTGGATTCCATCTGCCAAAAAAGGTATCATATTCATAAAATGGTTCATTACAATTTAGCTTATCAGTGATTTTGTCCATCACTAGATGGTTCCAGAGGTTGGAGTATCAGGAACATAGGGTGAGAGGAGTCTGGCCCCTCCATGTAGATGCGATGGATGTTTTGGCCGCTGCAATGAGTAGAGTAAGTACCGTATTTTTCGGACCATAAGACACACTCCCCCCCCCCAAAAAAAAAGTGGGGGGGAAGTGTGTGCGTCTTATGGTGCGAATACTGCCTTCTCCCCCCCCCCCAAAAGCCCACGGAGCCCATGGGAAGGCTTGAACTTACATTTTAAACAGCACGTTCTCAGGTCCATTAAGCACATAAAAACCGAAAGTAAACCAAGCTCCAAGAGGACCCAACCAAATCACACAGAAATTAAGGGAAGAGCAGACTGTTCCATTGGGAGGGGGGGAAGAAGGCTGAACAGGGCCCCGTTCAGCCTTCTCCCCCCCTCCCAA